TTGAATCCAAATATGCAAGAAAAGATATAAAAAAAAGAAGAATTGTTATAAAAATTGATTTATATGTAAAAATTTTAATAATTGGGAAAGCAATAAAAAGACACGTATGGAATCTAAGAAAGCTATTTATGATGCAAAGAACTTAGCTTGTAATGATTTATATAATAGATTAGATACTAAGGAGAAAGAAAGATATATGTATGAATTAGCCAAACAAAGAGATAGGAGTAGTAAAGATTTAATTCAAGTGAAGTGTATTAAGGATAAATATCAAAAAGTACTTTTCTTAGAAAATGATATTCAACAAAGGTGGACGAGATATTTTGCTAAACTTTTTAATGAAGAATGCAAAAATATGATTGACTTTAGTGACTTTAGCACCCTAAATGAAAACAAAAATTTTTGTTTTTATCAGAATATTAATAAAACCGAAGTTAGAGAAGCTTTAAAGAAACTAAAGTGTGAAAAAACTGTTGGACCTGATGATATTCCAATAGAGATGTGTAAATGCTTAGGAGATAAAGGAATTTCTTAGCTTACTAAAAATTTTAATACTATTTTGAATACTAAAAAGATGCCAAATCAGTGGAGAATGAGTGTGTTAATTCTTATTTTTAAGAATAAAGGTAATGCACATGAGTGTGTGAATTATAGAGGAATTAAGTTAATGTGTCGTACTTTAAAATTATGGGAGTGAGTTATGGGTCATAGGTTGCGGCGTGATACTAATGTTTCTTAAAATCAATTTGGATTCATGTCAGGTAGGTCTACTATGGAAGCCATACATTTATATTGAAAGGTTTGATGGAGAAATATAAAGAGAATAAGGAGGATCTACATATGATATTTATTGATTTAGAGAAAGTATATGATAAAGTTCCAAGAGAAGTGCTATGGAGAGTTCTTGAAAATAAAAGTAGTTAATAACGCTTATATTCAAATCATTAAAGATATGTATGCAGGAGCTATTACTTGTGTTCAAACACAAGGTGGTCTGACCAAGTATTTTCCTATCTTGGTTGGATTACATCAAGGATCAGCCTTAAGTCCATATCTTTTTGCTTAGTCATGGATGTTCTCACTCGACATTTGCTAGAGGAAATACCTTGGTGTATGCTTTTTGCTGATGATATTCTTCTTGTTGATAAGACTAGAGAAGGAGTTAAAGGTAAACTTGAATTATGGAGGTCAACCTTAGAGTCTAAAATTGAATATATTGAGTGTAATTTTAGTATCAATATACCTAGTGAGGGCATTGTGACTTTGGGCGATCAAGTCATTAATAAGTGTTCATGTTTTAGATATCTTAGATCTATTGTTCAGAGTGATGGTGAAATAGATGGGGATATTACCAGCAGAATTCAAGTTGGATGGTTGAAGTGGAGGAATGAATCAAGCTTGTTGTGCGATAGAAAAGTCCCCCTCAAACTTACGGGAAAATTCTATAAGATGGTGGTAAGACCTGCAATGCTTTATGGTGCCGAACATTGGCCATTAAAACAGAAGCATAATACTAAGTTGAGTGTTGCATAGATGAGGATGCTTAAGTGGATGAGTGGCTTTACCTTTAGAGATGGGATACAAAATGTGCATATACGTGAAAAAGTTGGAGTAGCTCCAGTGGAAGATAAGATTAGAGAGAGTCACCTTAGATGGTTTGGTCACATTAAATAGAGGCCTTCTGATGACCCGGTAAGGAAAGTTGAAGTATATGATTTGACTTATGTTAAGAAAGGTAGAGGTAGACCTAAAAAGACTTGGATAGAAAATATTAGAAATGATCTTTCTTTATTAGATTTAAATGAGAATTTGACTTTTAACATGACACAATGAAAAAAAAAGGATTCATGCAGTTGACCCCACGTAGTGGGACAAAGGCTTTATGTTACTATTGTATTATTTGAAATGAATACTCCGTGAGAAGCAGAAAACCAAGCATCACAAATAGCACCATGGGAAACCTTAGCTTGCAAAATACAAAGTAAATTCATATTATGAGAAGTAACAAACTTTTGCGCATCAAGACTTTTTTAGGGCTATTAAAACTATGAACATTCCAAACATCCAAGCTAGATTTGATCATTAAGATTTTTTGTTTATTTTTGGAGCCTTATTTAAACCCCTTAGCTCGAGAATTAATGGTTCCTTGATAATAACATTAGAAACCTAGGCAGCCACAACCTCAAAAGAGTCATCATCTTTAAGAACATCAAATTTGTTAGGAGAATGTAACTAGTTAGAATGTCCCATTACTATAGAAGCAGTATTGGAAAGGGGAAAGATCACCAGTAGGAAAGTTTAAATTTGGAATAATAACAGGTGTGTCAATTGATGAAAGAAGCACAATCTTCAGCATTATAAGAGTTAACCTTGTCTAATTTAGGCTCATCTTATTGATCAAATTTAGAGGAAATGACATGAACGGGGGAGGAAATCTTTGCAGGGGGGTTACCATTTAATTCACCACTAGAATTTTCATCAACAAAAATAGTATTGTGCATAGAGAAAGCTTAAACATTAGAAATAGGAAGAGCAACTTCATCTAAAGGATTCACATCAGCTTTTTGGACTCTAAAGGGGCCAGCCTTCAATGGATCTGATGGGTTAGCAACAGGTTTTGGGATTTAATGGCTTTGTATTTTATATTTGGACCTAAATCTAGTCTCTTTAGGCATCCTGTTAGTGCTTCTCCCAGGATTTGAAACATTAAAATTAATCGTAGGAATAGGATTAGGGTTATGGTTTTTCAGACAGGCATTAGAGGGATGAGTAAAAGAGCCACAATGTTTACAAACTTATGGTTTCTAGTCGTATTGAACATGGAGTTTATATATTTTACCATCCAGCAAAATAAGAATTTCATCAGAAAGATTAGATTTCCCATTCACGTGCACACAGACTCTAGCAAAAGTGAGAAGAGTTCACTCAGACGTAAGCCGATCAACAGCCAAAGGGATACCTATGTAGCTAGCTATCATAGATATACTTTTAGGGTTCGAACAAGCAAGAGGAAGATCATGGATTTTAATCTATAGGGGTATCGAGGTAAACTCTTCACATTTAGGAATAAAAGTGGGAGACCATTTTTGTAAAATGAAAGGTTTACAAAAAAAAAAAAAAACTAAGCCCCCCCCCCCGAACAGATCATCTCATAGTCTTCAGATTAAGTAAATCACAACAATAAAAAAAACCATTCAAAAAGAAAAAAAGAGAAATACTACCTTTTAGACCCCAATTTTTTTTTCATGATAGATAATAAAGCCTCATAGTAAGGACGCTTACCAAGATATTAGCCAATATGAGAAAGTTCCTAATGTTTCACACCATTCGCGAGCTGATTAGAGAAGAAGTTGGTAACATTATCGTTATGAGGAAGAAAAGAAACATAAAAATCTAATGTAGAAGTATTTCGAGAAAAAAGAATAGTTTTAGATTTGAGGGCATCATCGAGATCATTAGCTTTAGGGTTGGCAGTCTTTAGTGAATGGGGTCTCGAGACCAAAGGTGGAAAGTCAATGATGGAGAGGGGATCCCCCGCATCCATCCAAGAAAGATGTGGCCTACAACAGAGCCAGAGTAGGAAGGGAAGTGGATGAAAAAGCAGGGCGGGGGCTAGGGTTTTCAAAATTTTCAGAGAACCCCTCCGTGTCTCCAGAGTCTTGAGCTCTTTGGATTTGTCTTGTTGGGATGATTAATTTAATTGTAAACATGTAACAATTAGTGAGCTTTTGATCATTTAATTAATGTTCCAAAGTTTTTTATACACTTCAAGTACTAGATCTGGTTCATTTGGGTTTGTATTACACTACCTTCAATGTCTTTAGGCTCATCTCATAGAGACTTTAAATTTGATAATAAATTTATTAAAATTAAAGTCAAAATGTTTTTAATTCAAAATTTACATTTCTAATTTAATTATACATTGGAATTCTCATCCAAGTATATTTATGTTAGATTACGAATATTGTAGATTAGGGGTATAACCGAATCAAGCTGACTCGGTAATAGGCTCTATGAGTCGAGCATATCGAGCTTGAGCTCGAACATGCCTCAGACTCAACTCGTCGTCTTGACGAGCAGCTCGGCGGCTGAGCTTGCGGGCTGGAAATTCTAATCCAAGGAGCTCGCGAGCGAGAAATTGAAAATAATGGAGCTCACGTGCGGGAAATAGAAAATGACGGAGTTCATGAGTGGGAAATCCAAATCGACAGAGCTCACACGTGGATCTCGAAGACAAACAAGCTCTAGACAATGATGGCAGACACGAGTTTGGGAAGACAATGAAGAAGATCTGGACGACAACGCCCGTCATTTTCAACTACGAGCTCAAATCCTGGGGACGACGTCGCTAGAGTTCGAGAAGACAACGGAGAAGAATTGGATGATGACGTTCGTCCTTTTGGACTACGAGCTCAGGACCTCGGGAAGATGTCACCAGAGTTCGAGAAGACGACGGAGAAGATGATGAGCTCGGGATGAAGGATATCAAGGACGGAGGTCGGGAAGATGGATGAGACGGCGAACGAGGGACGATGGACGCAACAACTTTGACAACGGAGCTAGGGACTGAGCTCGACGAGCCGCTCGACATGAAGACAAGTTGAGCTCGAGCTTGGATTTTGAGATCGACTCGAGGTGATCAAGCTTGAGCTCGAGCTCGGTATTAGTTAGTCGAACTCGACTGTAACTACCTTGGCTCGACTCATTTGCACTATATATATATATATATATATATATATATTATATATATATATATATATGACATTTAGGTCATTTAAGATAAACTCACATACAACGCATACACTTAGATTCAAACTCTAGACTTTTTAGTTGGAAGTCTTAGCTCTCAAACAATAGGAAGGAGAGTTGTGTGATAGTTTATATTTTAAATAGATTGATGATATCCCGTACGCTTAATTTGTTAGGCTTCTTCAAGCCTTCGGGCCGCTGCTCGAAGAATGCAGAAGCCTTGCAGCTTCGACAACCAGAGCGACTTCAACGTGAAAAACATGAACGCTTTTGAGCGTGCTCTTAATGCAGAGGGCTTGACGGTCTCAACAATCCACGGCAAAGGCCGTGGTCTTGTTGCTGCCAAAGACTTTTTGCCCGGTCCGTCTCCTACCTTGTTTCTACTTCCCCTCATTTTATTTTTTCTAGGGTTTTGAAGTCTTAAAAACGACGACGTGTGTTAGCTTTTTGCTGAATATTAAATTGACTTGCCTCAGGGGATGTGATAATTTGTCAAGAACCTTATGCGAGCTCGCCGAGTAAATCTTCCACGGGGTCGTCATGTGATGGATGTTTTTCAACTACCAACTTGAGGAAATGCTCTGGATGCCGGATTGCGTGGTATTGTGGTAGTGCCTGCCAGGTACTTTTTCTTAGGCTTTTGTATCAACCCAAACTCTTGACTTTTGAGGTATTATCTATTTTGGCTGAATGGTCTTACAGTTTTATCCCATTGGTGTAACTTCTCAGGAGGTTACACAACATATAATTTCTCCCACACAAACATGCTTAATTTTGAAGTTCTGACGAGATTCGATGCTCTAATGTCACATCCCAACAACACAAGATGCGATTAAGGAGTACAAAGAACTATTTTCTACTCAAAGAAGAAAAGTGTATATAATACAATATAATGCATCAGAGTAAATAATAGAAAAAAACTTAACATTCATTTCATTATTATGAATTCAAAAATAATACACTAAAAATACAGCTAGAAAAAAAAAATGTAAAAAAAAAATAAATGACAAGAAAGAAACTATCCAATCGCAAAAAAAAGGTATAAATAACTTAATAGAAATATAAAATTACTCAATATCAGTTTTACTACTGATAGTTCTGCTTATGAGGTGGCTATCTACCTAGGGCTTCAGTAGTATTTGCTATGAACAAAAATAACTATAAGTGAGTTTGTTAAATCAAATCTAATATGTAACTCTTATCTATTGAAGTATAACCGACAAAGGAATGAGTTATGCAGTATGATTGATCAGTAGGTAAGAGTAGAAATTAATTATCAATATATTTATGCATGTTATTCACGTGTCATGATTTTTACGACGGTTTTAATATGGCAAATATGCTACTATTGCAACTGTATATGTTAACTTTATAACTAGTGTAATATCAATCAGATTTATGTAGATATAATTATATACCATTATATGATCCATCTGTCATTCAATGCTCAACTTATGTCTAATTATATCTATTCATTTATATATATAACTATAGTTTATTTTGTCAAACAGCTTGCATTGGAAAAGTAAACACCAACCCAAGGAAATCCAATGATTTCCTGTAGAGGCTTCATTTAGAGGGCCCGTCAGTCCAACAAGCAAATATTAAATAGAGTTATATCAACTTATATACCATTACACACATGTATATAATTTTCTATCTTTGATAACCACACCTTTCTTTGTTGGAGGTGTTACTTTTATTACTTGTATGAAATTTCTAGATATTTTATGTTGTTAGTTTTATATTAAATTTTTATTTATTACTTCATAATCGTGTAGAACTATTTATTGTTCATGATGATATTAACATGTGTAGAACTAATGTAAAAAAAAAAAAAACATGTGTAGAAGTAACATTACCTTGAATAATTTTTGCATAATTATTCCTTTAATTTAATTCATTCACATTAACCATGTTAATTACAATAGCTAGTATTTTTTCAAATCATATTAATTATGAAATTTCTAAATTGCCATAGTGACTATATAACTCATATGAAAATTTGTTTATCAAAAACATAAGACTATATGCATTTGTGCAATGGTATATAACTTAGTATAAGTTTATTGAATATTGGCTAGCTGGGCCGACGAACCCTCAGAGTGATGACTCTATAAAAAATAATTGAATTTCCTTAGGTTAGTTTTTATCTTCCCAATGCAAAGTATTTGACAAAATCGACTATATATATATATATATATATATATATATATATATATATATATATATATTAGACGTTAATTGTACATTAAATAACAAATGGGTCATATAATGGTATGATAATATCTTATATGATTATATGTGCATAAATCTGATTGACATTGCATTAGTTACAAGTTAACATGCATAGTTGTGATAGCAGTACATTGGAACCATTTAGGAATCATAGCATGCGATTTTATTGCATGATTACATTGATTGTTGATTTCTACTCTTAGTTATTGATATGTTATACTTTTCATTCATTCATTTACCTTTTATGCTTTAATAGATATAAGTTACTTGTTGAGTTTGATTTATCAAAACATGTTGTTACTTTTGTTCATAGTAAGTCTTAGCGGAGTTAGGGGTGTCAATTTTTGAGATGACATCAAAACCTGATCTAAACCCGACCCAAAAAATTCTATTTTGGGTCTACTGGTTTAATAAAAGGGTTGAGTTCAACTTCTAAGTCTTGACCGGCATGAAAAATTGGGTTGGGTCCGGGTCAAACCGCTAACTCGGAACTGACCCGTATGCAACCCCACTGTCTCGCTCGCACTGCGTCTGCACATTATGCACGCAGCTAGCGACCTGCCTCGTCCCCCGCTCCTTAAGTCTTACACAGTCACGTTGACAGCCTCACGCCCACGCTTCCCTCCCGCACTTGCGGTCACACCCTCGCTCTCCTTGTCGCCCACTCACGGTCACACCACGCACTCCCCCGCTAGTCATCGCTCCCCGTGCTTAACTGCAGGTTTGATAATGACAAATCTATGAACCACTCATTATCAGACACCACATCTTCACACACCAAAGGGTCTTCATCATCCTTCAACCCCTTTTTCCTCAACCTTTTATCTTTCAACCTCTTGTTGTGCATAATATACACAAGGGAGTTTATTCTGAGTGTCGAAAGTCAATTTCTTCTATTCGTTTGCACTTGACTATATGTGCCCCAGTTTCGCTCACACCCAGAGGAAGAACCAGTAAGGCCCAAAAACCTTAATTGCAAAACTCTGTAACTCAGGGTTGGAATCATCGGCGTGAGGTGGCGCCGGCAGGAGAGGTGGCGGGAAGGCCAACCAAGGGATGCTAGGGCGGGTCATGCAAAGCTCTCCTTCTTCATGTGGTTCGAGTCGGCTGATGGAAGGGAGGAATGAAGGGGGGTATTTTATTAGGCACTTAAGTGAGTGGGACCCATTTGCTTGAGGCGTACGTTTCACCCATTATTGTGCAATTGCGCCTTTGAGGCACGCCTCAGGCTCCATGAGGCGTACGCCTCTCCTGGTCCTAGAATTGTTTAAGCAATAACGCGCCTGGGGTTGAAATTGTGCAGAATTGTTTAAGCAATAAAGAGCCTATGAGGTGCGCTTTTATTGTGCAATTTTAAACTATGGTAACAATCTATTATGCATTTATGACCCCTGATTTCATATATCCATATGTAATTTGCGTAAACAATTGTACAAACAAAAATATTTTAATAGGTATAATAACATTGTATTGCTCTCTTTTCCCGGCATTCCTTCTTCACAATATCAAAATGTTATAAAACAATTAGTTTCAAATTTGTCCTTAATCAATAAAATAATATAATTATACACAATTAGCTAATTCATGAATAATTTTATGAATAATCAACATCTATCTATAATTTGTAATCCTCCAAACCTCTCCAATATTTTGGACATGTGTGCATGATAGATATAATTATTTTGGATGTAATGTAATCCCTGATAGAGAAATGAATGCAAAATCTAATATTTGGGTGACCCTAGATTGCACAAAAATGCAATTTACTAACGGATGAAATCCTTTGAAAATTGGAAATGAGTAAAGAGTTGAAGATTTATCTCCCAAATGTCAAACAATGGACGAAATGGTGTAGGATGCACGGTGAACGACGAGGAGCTATCGAGACGATGACAGTTGCTGTTGGAGAAGAAAAAACGAGAAATGGGAGTGTCGTGCTGAGTTGGGATAAAATAGGGTCTTTTCCAGTAGAATTTCCAATGGAAATTAAGTAAAAATTCCAAAGGATTTTTTGTCAGGAATTCAGCCACGTGCACTAATCACCGGTGAATTTTCTGCTAGTAATGCATGTTCTTCTTGTAGTGACTTCACTGCCCCCAAAGTCTCTCTGTTATTTTCTTTGGAACTTTTATGGTAATCTTTTTAATCTACGTGATCATTTTTTAATCTGAAATCAGGTTTTATTCAAGTTTAAAAATCTGTTCTCTTCTAATCCTATATTTGAAAAGTAATAATCTTCTCACTTTTTCAGTTCTCAAACTTATTCCATGGCATTCATCTTTTTTCATTACCTTTTTAATACTTGCATATATATATATATATATATATATGCACCTGTACTATTAAGCCCCATTTTGGAACGTTTATGTTGCTTTGCTTTTCAAAAATCTGGCATTTCACACTTCGTATTTGCTTGACAAATATGCCTTGAAAGCATTGTAATTTACTCCATGGATTCATAGTTATGGGCAACAAGCTTGAAAAGTAATTTCCTCATCGCTATAGTAGCAAATAAATTGTACAAGGACTGATTGATTTTCCAATTTACATAGATTATCTAAAAAATGCTAGTTATTTAGATTGCTTTTAGTCAGCAGCCATTCTTTTGTCTCTATTACTATTTGTTTGTACTTGACCTTTCTATTTTAGTCTTTCAACTTGCATGGTTGAACTTCGTTTATTATTGAATTGAAAATGCTATATATTGCATAAGATGCCAGAATGGCATTAAAAAAATGAAAGAAATTGCTTAAAAATGTAACTAATAATGCCTATTAAAAATAAAACTTTCTATGTTTAATTTTAATATTCCATAAAACATGATTTTAAGAGTCATTAAAATTTATTATTTTTAATATAATAGATAATGTCTTTAGCTAAACTCATATGAGAAAAAGTTTTACTTGTGTATTAAACTCTTGCTTACGTAGTATTTCAGGAAGGAATGATGTATGTGATCTCAATTGTTAAAAGTAGTTGGTTCCCTTAGGGCAATACGATTGTTTAAAAAAGCTTGGGGCGCTCAGACGCTCTCTTGAGCAAAGTGAGACACTAAAAAGTTTCACCTTTTTTAATTATGAAGGTAATTTTGGGATTTATAATATGATAATCATCACAATAAAATCAAATGTTGTAAAAATAAGCATATTTGTAAGTTTTGTGTCATTCCAAATCTTGCTAAAATGTTTTTTTAAACTAAATTTCCCATAAGACCCAAGAGTTAGGTTTCAAGTTTAAACAGCCATATATATAAATTTAAGTTTAATCTAATCTTCACTATAATCTGTTTCATTTTTTTCATCAACTGTACTTTGTTGTCTTCATTAGATTTGTAGCCCATTATCTCATAATATGGTTAGGCATGCTTTAAAAATAATAGAAAATTATGCTTCATAGAGATGAGCTCCATATTGCCTAGGGACTTGCACCAAGGTCCTTGCATAGGCTGTGGCTTAGTGATGACGCCTATCTTGGAGGTGTTTGAGGTGTTGAAGCCTTGTTGCACCTCACCTAGGCACCTAGGAGAGCATCCAACTCACTTTTGATAATACTGCTTAGTCTTTTACCCTTGCATTACATGGAAGCTGTTATCTGTGATATGCAATATAGAGCCAATCTAACTATTACTCCAATTTTGCATTCTAAACTCAACAGCAAATTTATGGAAATTATAGAAGAAAAAAAAAAAAAAAAACTTCTGGGAGGGTTATTATGATGAATGGCAAGCTTTTCAATTTAGGCTCCTGTAACTTTTTATTATTATTTAAAATTCTTGCTTGTTTCAGTTGAAATTATTACCAGATACGATGCTGTGAAAATTCTACTGTCATTTTGTTGCTTATTGTTTTCCCTTATTGCTTAATCTAATTTAATTCGCTGTTATCAGTTTTTCTGCTGTTTCGACTTTCGTTAACTTTTGTATTCTGGCTATTCTTTAGAAATCAGAGTGGAAACTACACCAACTGGAATGCAAAGCCCTTTCCTCCTTGACCGAGGATAAGAGAAAAATGCTAACTCCAACGATAAGATTAATGATCAGACTTGTACTCAGAAGGAAGTTGCAAAATGATCGGGTAAAAAATACCTTTTCTTGATAGCGTCTTGCATAGCCTTTTCCTTTCTTTAAGGCTTTCCGTCTTTTTGAGAGTTTCTGTCTACTGCTTTATAGTAATTTGTTAAGTTTCCTTTTGTACTCCCTCCGTACACATTTTAGACATTGGACCAACCCTGATATATGTTTAATGACTAAATTATCGTTCTGTTGCTACATTGTATCTATGTGATTTCCTTTGTTGAAATGCATTTCACCTCAAAATCTGCATATGGTAAACTTGAAGTCTTTTTGTTCTGCATTAAGCAGATTAGATGTCCTTTTAATCTTCATTTGCTTAGCACTGAATACAGTAATGCCTCGATAATTATCATTATGATACTTTTGTATTGTTGGTATGTATGCGTGTGGGTGGGCAGAAATGTTTAGGTTGTTTTGTTAGTTTTTGAGAAGCTTTTAATGTTTCCATGAGGAAACTTAAGATATATTTTTAGGAGACAGATTGATGTTTTAACCACATTACCTCTACTGTTAATACAGAGTTTTAGTTAGATTTGGTTTTTGAAATGCTCAAAATCCCACAATTAATTCATGTATGTTTGTGGTCACTTTGCTTTGATATTTAGGTACTTGCTCTATGGTGATGGCATTCATTTGTGAGCATACGTGTGTCTTCCACCTTGACATGGTCTAAGGTGGTAGGTTAGCATTGGACATTGCATTTCACTTATCTCTGTTGCTTATTTTGACATCTGTCTATGACGACAATACTTATAAGGTATGGTTCACTCGATGCTGACTAGTGACCTCTCGTCGGCTTAAATGGACTAAAAGAGTGGAGGAAAGAAAACTAAATTGTAGCATTAGGTACGACTCAACTGAATCTGATCATATTTAGCTATGTATGCTTTGGTTTATTACTCTCTTCATAGTAGCTCTTCATGGCATGAAATCAAATTGATATAATTTTTTAAGCCTATGATTTATTATTCTCTCCCATAATTTCATTATATGATTCATAAATTTGATTCCTTTATAGTAAGAATAATCTTGAACATTTTTATGTTTAAATATTTGTGAGAAAAAAAAAATTTCTCCGGTCATTTGACATAGTTTTAACCTTCAAAATTTGACCTATTGTCACAAATCACTGAATGCCCACATCACCTTTAACTCTCAATAAGGTATCTCATCTATATCTAAAAACCTTTAGGAATTTTTTTTAGAGTTAACTGAACTTCACTTTTTAAGATAAATTTATAATATGATTCATAATATTGTTCGTTATACATTTCTAAAATAAATTCTTTTTTCAATCTTTCATTTAATAATTCCTCAAAGTAATATTTTTTTGTGTTTGATGTTTTCATCATTATCTAATATCCATTGATCTTCATTTTTAATACATCTAATTTGATCAGAAATTCTAGAACTTTTATCTCTTTGGCTATTCTATATTTGTCCTCTACTTTGTAAGAAACATTAAAATCATCAAAAGCTATAGCTTTTGCTTTGTTCACCACCATCTTTGCAAAACTTTTAGCTTTTCTATAATCATCACAGGCCTTCATAGTAATCAAATTTTACCATAATTTAAAAATGCATTTTTTTGCGTAATAACTTTATATACCTTATTCACTAGGGGTGTCAATTATTGACACAACTTGAAAACTAGACTGGGACCCAACCTCGACTAAAAAAAATCTGGTTTCGGGTCTACCGGTTTAACAAACGGGTCGAATTCGAGTCTTAATTGCTGAACTGTTTTAAAAATCAGGTCTTGTTTGGGTCAATCAACCTACTAACTTGGAAATGAGCAGAATTTAACATATGTGCCACAACCTAGAATCCCCCACTACGTCATGCTCTCCTGCCTCGCCCCGCGGCATGCGCTTGCGCAATCGCTAGCTCGCGGTCGTGCCCTCGCTAGCACCCACGCTCGATGCTAGCCTGCTATCCTACTCGCACCTACGGGTTAGAGGGGGTCGAGTTGGGTCAGGTCAACTGGGGTTAGAGGCGGGTCAAATTAGGGTATGAACTTCTAACGTGTTTGTCTAATCAGGTTGGGTCAGATTAATTGAAGGCGATTCATTTTCGGGTTGGACTCGAACCCGACCCAAAAACCTATTTTTAAGCCCCTATTTTCAGCAGACTCCTTTTTACTCTATAATTTTTTTTTTTAGATTTTCTTATAACTTCCCTACAACAGTCTTTTTGATTGAATTAGACATCTTATCTCACATTAGATTTGGCTCAACAAAAAGGTCAATTTTGCCCTTTTTGGCAACCTATTCTAAAAGATTAACACTTTCACACCTTTTAAATTTCATAACCTTATCCTAGGTCATAATTCCACCACTTAAATTTTCTCTTTATACTCCCTTCTTCTTTCTCTCCACATTATCTCTAAGATTCTCTCAACTACTCTTAAAATATCGCCATAATTATGTAAATTCTGAGTGTAAATTTAACAGACATTGAATTAAATCCCTAATCACTTTTCCACCATGTCCCAATCCGAAATCAACCGTATATGACCAGCCCTATCTTGTTGGTTGGAAAACAGAATCCTTTGATCCATCTACCAAAAAAAAGAAGTTCGAAATTTACCTGCCGTATGCCACCACTTAATCCTATGAAACATGTTTATGCTTTTCTTTCCTTGATCATGTAGATTTTATAACCTGGATTGTAAGTTCTTTGTTTGTATAAAACGATAAAAGAGAAAATGAAAAAAAAATTAGAAACCTAGTAGGCCTTCTTTCTCCTTTAAAAATGTCATTATTTCTATGAAGATCTGCGACCATCTTTTTTGAAGATATTGCATAAAGAATGGACTTAGATCGCACCGATGCTTCTACTGGTAGCATTTGAAATTACCACAATTATTTTGAAAAAAATGGAGATATTATCTACCTTCAAGTAATTACAAGTTGGTAATTGAATGCATTATTGCTACTGTGTAATTCTGGAGGATTCCGGAGAACTCTTCCGGATTTTGGAGTAATTTTGATGTAGTATGCTATCAGAAGATGATGATCTAAATAGACAAGGTGTTGTTTTTTTATATACAAATTTACTAGAAATTAGCAAATATTTATATTTATATTTTATTTTCATGGTGATTATGGGGCTGTTTGGTTGCCTGAAAAGAAAATGCAGTGTAAATTAAATGCAATATAAAGTAAATCTAGTGCATTCCGAATACTTTAAGACTGTTTGGTTGTCTGCAAAATAAACGCAGGAGAATTGTTTCCCTTGTTTGGTTAGGTAAAACCAGAGTAAAGTAAAAGTGATTTTTTTGTAATAATTTATTTTGACACCTCTAATTTGAGCTTGAGCTTAACTAATTAATTATGATGACTAAGACTTCATTTGGGACGACTTTCTTATTGCATCTTAAAATAATTTTTCAGTTTAAAATTTTTAATTTTTACATTTACATTGAAAAATTGCATTAAGAAGCAATAAAAAAATCATCCCAAATAAAATTTAAGTCTTCATTTGGGACAATTTTCTTATTGCTTTCTAAAACAGCTTTACAAAAATTTTACTTTAAGAAGCAGTAAGAAAGGCATTGGAAACAAAACCTAAGGCTTCGTTTCATACAACTTTTTATCTGCTTCATAAAGCAGTTTTTTAGTACAAAATTTTTAATATTTATACTTAAAAACTGCTTTAAGAAAGTAAGAAAACCACCCCAAAAGAAGCCAAAGTGCAAACTCTACTTGGAGCTTACCTCAGGTATTAAACCGAAGCAAGATTAGGACAATAGTCCAGTACAAGTTTGAATTGAAGAAAACTTATGGTGGCTTCCTCTGTACAGAATGCCAAACATTAAATATTTCTCTAGTGGATATAAAGCATTGAAATTAAATCATAAATAGAGCCCAAAGGTTACTACAATCAGAATATAACAAGAGAATAATACAACTTAAATCACCCTCAATAATCTTAACCAAAATTTACAACATTCTTTCAAGCAGAATAAGTACACATAGATATGTCACACTAACGATCAAGCTTATACTACAACAATGGCTCCAGCTTACCAATCCAATCCATTGCATATACTCCAAAGCTGCATGCAGCCAATTGCGATGCGAAATGTGCATATCTTTCACTGAATCAAAAGGATAAGTTTGTTAGCAGATAAGTAGGGTGAATAGGACAAGCGTTGATGATTATGCTACATTCTTCCTAACTTGAATGAACAATTTATTTAGCAACTCATGCATTCAATAATTGACAAATACAAGCAATGTTTAGAATAGTACACTAGTAAACTTATCAAGAATTAGCCATATTCAAAATCATGAACACATTACCTCGCCATATGGATAATGAGTAATCTCTTCAACCTGCAACAATTGGTTGAAAGTGGCATAGATTTCAGAAGAAAACTTCCTTTGTTATAATGACAAAAAATTAAATAGTGCTACAATGGCAGAACTCAAAGTAATTTTCAAAATCAAAAACATAAAAAAATAGCTGAACCTTCTTAGTTCGCCTATCCGTATTAATAAGGATATTATCGCTGCCTTCTTGAAACCCTCTGCAGCAACAAAAAGAGGATGTGGGAGAAAGAAACTTATTCGAGCCCTAAAATAATGAGAAAAAAGGGCTGTCGCCTTAAGAACCTGAATATCACTGTTCGATTTGCGGGCCTTCCATTAACGGATACAGTGGCCTGAAAGAAAATTCAAAATAAGAATTAAACACCAAAAGTTGAAGCTTTGGAGATTAAACTTTAGGGTTTCTAAAAAAATAAAACGAACAAGAAGAAATAAAGGGCGGCATGGGTTTAGCAGAAGTATACGAGTTGGAAGTAGGAAGAATGATTGAGGTACGCATTAGATTCCAGCGCTGCAGTGAGGAGAGTTCTCCATGGCTGCACCGCCGTAGCTGCTGCCCCTCCCATAACATCCTGAATACTACGCACAATGGCAGGATGGCTGTCGTCCTTTTCGTTTCCGACGACGAATCCTGCCAGCCAATCTACGACGAGCCACACAGAATCTCCGACATTCAGTCACGTCTCCGTAACATCCTCCAAGGCGAGAGCAACATTACCTCCATGGCCGTCACTAACGCAGAACGCCGACTCCATCAAATGATGTTCGCCGACCGAGACTTTGAGATGGCTTCCTCCCCGCTTGACTCCATCAAATATTTCATGCAAGAGGATTTATAACCCGCTCAATTTGAGCGGGTTTTGAAGTAGCACGAAATGGCCTCCGTAACACCCCGCTGATCCTTCGGAGGAATTCCTTTTCCCTCAAGACCAACCAAACGACGTAATTTACGAAATGCGGGTAAATAAATTACTTTACTCTCCTAATTCTGCATACCAAACAACCCTTATATGCTCGACTTTTAGTCATCATGCTATTTCTATAAATAACCTTTATTCATTCTAAAAATGATGATGTAAATTAAATGTAAAATCTTATGGCCTTTATTTTGGCTCCAAGTTTTATTGCTTTGATGATTTAATATTTGTATGTCTCAATGTTTTGTTGCTTGGGATCTTTTCCATAGTTTTTTTTTTCAGTTACCTATTAATTTCTATTATTCTGCTGCATTCCAATAATTTTCTGTTCATCCATATTGACCAAATACATATGACATCTAATATAAGATCGTGAAATACGGGAGATGGCAATGTTTTAAGCGTTTGCGTATGATGCATCAACAATGGCACTACATGGTTCTCTGTACTTATATTTTCTTGTACATATTTATGAATGGCTTCTTATCTTTAGTTATGTTTTTATTCTTGAGCGGTATAACCATTTTTCTTAATTCTCTCTTTGATCTTTAATTTTTAGTATTGCTGCGTATAATTATGCATTAAGGCTAGTAGCTACAATCCACTTCTTGATATTTCTTTTATATTTTCTCCTGTCTAGGTTATCCCAACAACTGCAACAGATAATTATGACTTGGTGGCTGCACTGGTTTCTCGTATCCTGCAGCTCTTTCCATATTTTATATGACAATCACCATAGCATTCTTAGATTATAATTCCATGTTTTATTGACCATTGTTTTCTTTCTAAGATATGTCTGATCTTGATGAGAAACAAATTGTACTGTATGCTCAAATGTCTAATCTTGTGAAGGTGGTACTTCCTTCATTGGAGGTTGACCTCAGGGAGATAACACAGAACTTTTCAAAGGTTATAATTCAAAACTAGTAGTTCATTCTTGTTGTCCTTTTTCAGATGTTAGAACATTTGAAGGAAAGTTTTATTATTTGTTTTTGAGAATGATGAGCAATAAATTACAAATAATGTGATCTATGAACTTAGAGAAATAACTTTCTCCTTCAAAAACTGGATCACGAATTCTTTCAAGCAGAAAAGTTGTTTTTGTCCGTTATCTACCTTTTTCTTACTTTTAAGTAATCGGAAATGGACAATGCCACCATAACAATCCCTATTTAACTGGGTCATCCTTTATATATCTTGGCTTAACAAACTCAGGATTGTCATTTTTGGAATGAAAAAATAAATCGAACATTTCCCCATTGATTTCGCATATCGCATACCACTTTAGTCAACTTGCTTGATTTATTCTGAAAATATTGAAGAAGTATGATTGGAACATTGGAACTAAATTTCATTTTCATCTAAACATTTAAGAAGCTTTATTTTGTCACTCATCTTTCGTTTTTATTCAGTGATATAGTTCTGTTGGGTCTGATGCAGCTTTCATGTAATGCTCATACAATCTGTGATGACGAGCTCAGACCACTGGGAACTGGACTGTATCCTGTAGTTTCCATTATTAATCACAGGTTGATACCTTTTGATGAAGCATTTTTCTTTGTTTGTCTTCTTCTTTATACGGAGCTGCTATATGCAGATTCTTTTCTATTTAAGAAATTCACTGCTGATTGAATCATGTTGAGTTTAGTTGTATACCAAATTCAGTTTTGGTATTTGAGGGTCAAATAGCATTAGTTCGGGCTGTGGAACCGATACATAAGGGTGATGAAGTAAGATCTCCTCGGGAAATCATTCTATATTGCTTTTATTGATTTTAATGCAGTTGATACTTGTATGCTGATGCACTTCACTCTTCAAGGTTGTGATTAGTTACATTGATACTGCTGCAACCACTGAGACAAGACAAAACTCCTTAAATCACTATTTCTTCAAATGCAGTTGTCCTCGTTGCACCAAGGTTGTTTATGTTGAATCCATATTACGACTGTCCTTGTCTTTTGCAGAAAGTAATATTCTTATATTTTTCATCTTTATATCTGTTTTTCCTTCATCAAGAATCCACTTGAAGAGCTTAAGGAAGTTGCTATTCTGGAAGGTTATGGATGTAAGGATCAGAAATGCTTTGGCTTCTTGTTTTACAAAGCCGGTAAACCATCAATAAGTTTGGATGATATAATTGTGAAGTATCTACTTTAACAATAAAATGACTTTCTATGCAGAAAATAAAGCTTTTACATGCCAGGTATGTGGTCACAGTAGGGATGAGTACGACATAAATAGGATTGCTAATGAAGTAGAAAAATTATCAGCAAAGGCTGCTTCTTCTCTTGCCACTGGAAGTATCCTTCACTAAGAGTTTAATGCTGCATGAAAAGTTTATGGAACGATTAAGTAAGGCTTAACCTTGTTTAAGCCCTTAAGCCAGACCAAATAGCTTAAAAAACACCACACATAAGCTTGAGAGATGTAAGCTCGACTTTTCTCCTAAGAGGGGAAGTAAGCCCTGTAAAATAACGGGGGTTGCAATTGAGCTTAGCAGCTCAGCTTGTCTGCATGATTTCCTTTCCTAGAGTCAAGTCTTCTCCTTCCCAGTCGCATCCTTGCTGTTGGGCATGTTGCTTGCCCCCTACATAGTGAAAATCTTATATTTCATCTGGAGATGCTGCCAATTTGTTTTGAAACTTCTTAAAGTAAAATTAATCATCATTTAGTAGTCTTAAAATTAAATACACTCGTGTTTATGCAATATTAGAATACGATGATAAGAAAATGAGCTTTCTCAGCATATATCAGCTTATGTTTCTGACCAAACAAACAGTTTAACTTTGCTTAAGGCTTAACCTTGCCATATTTATACTTAGCTTAAGACCCAACTAAACAAACCCTGAATATCATCATCAATATAGTTTTTTTTTTCTTATGTAGAAGATACTATAGATATGTCCTTAGGAAAATGAAGATTTATAATATGTTTTATGAAGTTTTCGAGTGAGACAATTGACTTCAAATCAGATCTTTCTGAAGCTTGCTTGTTGTACAAAAAACTTGAGCAGCTCGAGGTTAATTTGTTTCATCCTCATTCAGTCAAGTTGTTGGGAACTCGTGAAACTCTTCTGAAGGTGTAGTTAATTACTGACATTTTCCTCTTTCTTTCTGTTTTGTGTTCGATTTCAAATACAGACAAATTATATCCCTCTTAGCAGTAAATGGATAATGATGCCGTGCTTGATTATGGTTCCGCCTACTTCTTTGGCATGAAAGATATTTGCTTGATAATCTTTTGAAGTTTGTTATTTCTATGTTTTTTCAAGTTTTTTCTTCCTCCAGGCGGGGAAGTCCTTGAACAGATGGATCATTCCTTTTCTGTCTCTCTAATCATAGGATTAGCACTTTGACTAGTACTTCTTGCTACCCAAGCAGGTGTTTTTGGAGTTAAACGATTGGAGAGATGCCTTGACGTGTTGCCAGCTGACAATTCCTGTCTATCAAAGTAAGCCCTTCTTTATAAAGTTGCAGTAGTGTGAGTTTTGCATTTTGTGTGCTGCGAAATGCTTTATTTCATTTGTCTACTCATTTCTATAACTAACATGACACATCCTTTGCGGTGGAAGAAATTACTAATTGCAGATCCTTGATTTCATTTCATCTTGTTCGTTGCTATGGCTCATTTAGTTTCATTTTAATTTCAATCAATTATTGTGAATCTTTTTCATAGCTTTTCTCAAGGTTTGGGAAAGCTGGACCGGACAACGATTCGGAAGAAGGAGAGGTTCACAGTTTGATTGTTCAACTTGAGTTGAACAGGAGTCGAACAGGATGATGTAATAAATACTAATTTTATTAAAAAATAATAAAAGTAATATAATAATGATGCTATCATTTTAAATATGTGATAAAAAATTAAGTAGATTAAAAAACTATGAGTTGGAATGGTTCAGTGAAAAAATTGCGTGATGGTTCAAACCTAGCGCTGTAGCAGTCAAACTTAGTTGCACTGCGGCGCCATCTTTTTTAGCACCGTGATGCCTAATAGTCTGTGTACTAAGGATATATAGAATTTTGGCCAAATTTGTTATGGCTGGCAAATTATTTTCTTGAACAAAATAGTGAGTGTGTGTAAGAGAGTGTGTGGAGAGAGCATGCTTAAGGAAGAACAATCACATAAGTGCTTCCAGGTGACATCCCACACAACTCTTCTTTGTATTTTGTTTTGATCTTAGTAATGAAATATGTTTTGTGTGTTACCTTTTCTGTGGCTAGCTAAACACTTAGTTTTGGACTTGTGATGTGTGATGTAAAGAATGAATCATCAGAGTAGACTCTAATTCTTGAAATGATTAATGTATTTTTCAATTACTCCTGTTCATAATTGCATCGATCGTGCTTTAAGTTAAAATTTAGTGTGAAACTGTGACTAATTGCCTCGATGGAGGAATAAGAGAATAATTAGGAGAATTGAAACACAAAGCTTTCATGCCTAGGCATAGGATGATTGGGATTTTTTAATATATGAAAATATAACAATTGTAGTGGAGTGACAGCTCTACTTTAAACTTTTATAAACTTGACAGAGATCAAGGAGTACATATACTCTGATTTACAACATACATTAGGAGAGTCAACTTAGATAAAGATGTCTTTAATCACCATCGTAGGTTCATAACATTTTCATTAACTGAAATCTACTTTTCAACAATTGTAGTAGGAACCATAGAAAACTCCTAAATTCGATTGATAGGATGAGTTTTGCGATTTGAATAGACAGTACTAGGGTAATTTAGTTCCTCGTGGGATTAGCATCATAGTCTAACTTTATTATTTGACTGACACATACTTATGCATCAATCAGTCTTGCTTAATCAAGAACAAGTATATTTTTATTTCAAGCTTAGTATAAAAGGCTGTCAATTTGCATCATCAAAAGTTGAGCCCTCAAATCCTCCATCAAAATCTTTCCCACCAAATGCATCAACATCATGACTTCCAAGTATTTCATGGCTATCTCCTAAATTTTTTAAGATATCATCATCTGCAAAACATAATTATAAAGTATTATATCTTTATTAAACATTTATCAAAATAATATAATTTAATCCAATTGACAATTTACTTTGTGGCGAACTTTTCTGGTCCAACTAATATTCAGATCTTCAACAGTGAGAGTAATATCCTCTATATAAATTACAGTCTCTAAATCCTCTAAAGCAAGCTATGGAACTAGTTCATTATCAAGCACTCAAAATCAGCCATCTCAATATTTGTATAGTTCAAAGGATCATAGTTTTTTTTTAATCTATAAAGTTAATATGAATCATGATAAGTATATTGTACATTCTTCTATAAAATAACATTTAAATATAATTGAAAATCATACATATGCCTCAAATTGAGGTTGTACCAAAATCACAGAGCCTTTGATGCTCTAGATGCTTTCATCTCTTCGTGCGAATTTACTCAAATACACTTCAAATTCTTTTACATATTAAAAATAAAGATGTTTGATTAAAAATCCTAACATCCAATTTCTGCAAATTTGGTGCACTTGAGCCAAACATCTTCCATTATTCGTCTACAAGCTGTCAAACATTAATTAGTTCATAGGTAAGTGATATGCACGAAATATCAAATACATATAGAATTTGTTATAGAACTTACCAGGTTGTATTTTTTTGACAATGTCAAAGTAACTGGTTTGCCAAAAAATTTCTAATCTGTCATGAAAAATTCTAACCTCATTCATTACTAATGATTGTTTAGGACATATCTCTTTATTTCAAATCTACCCAATCAAACCTTGCATCACTTCAGGCTTATGTAAAAAATGTTTTTTGTCATATTGAAAATAAAGATTAAAAAAATAGACTACACAATATATGTCTTGTCATAGCTGGCTATCTCATCTTCTCTTTATAATACTTGTGTATGATTTATACATACTTTTAACATTTTTGAACATAGTTTTAACATTTTTCAAAGAAGGTTTGGATTCTGATTTGGTCCTTGGAGCTAAAAAGTTTTCCATCTCATCTATCTTTCTCTCCCTCTATCGATCCTTGTATGGTGTGCATATGAAGATTGTGACATGGGAAGTGACGAGGATTCACTTTTTTCATTCATAAGGTCATCAACAAACACCGATGTATTCTGCTCCAACTCCTCTTGTGTTTGTTATTTCATTTTAGATATCTCTTTCAAATTCTCTTGTATCTGATAATAGATATCTGATGATAGATATCATGTGAGACTTTTTATATGAAGCAATGTTACCTCTGATTTTTGCTAGGTGCCGTTTTATCTTATTAATACCTTCACTTTTGCAAGTAATCCCACAATGTAGACATTTAAATTATTATTTTTCCATTAGGTCCTTTATACTTACTATAATAACTATAAGCAATATCTATCTTTTCACGCACAATATAAGATGAAGCTGTTATTTGATTGGTTGTTGGATCCATTTTAAAGCAAAAGTTTTGAACTGCACAATTTCAATGAAAAAAATATGAAAGCATACTCAACTTTCAGAAACTTAGAGAATATGAAGAACTCAACTAATAGATTGTTGACTATTTAAGTAAAATTCACTAAATGAACTGAAGGTTGAATGAATAAATCTACAACTTATTAAACTTCAATTAGCAAAATAAAACTGATTAAAATTTATAGAAATGAAATGCATTTAATAACATATAATAGATTTGATGCACAAAAGTTTTGAACTACACAATTTCAATGAAAAAAATATGAAAGCATACTCAACTTTCAAAGGCTTAGAGAATATTAATGTTAAGAGAAAATATTTAAAATGTTTTTAGGAGGTTAAGAAGTGGAGAAGAACTAAGAGATTTTCCTCTCAGGGCAGATTTATTATTATTGATTTGATAATTCACATGAGCAAAATTAAGAATGCCATGAGGCTATAATATCTTAATGTTATTAAGGATGGCTTCCCTTATTCATGAAGAAATATTGCAGCTTCATTTTGATGGGCGATTTGTTCGTTGGGGAGGTGGGTGTTGGTGGGGCCTAATCCGATCAAAATAATCATTAAAACATGTTTAAAAATCTTCAACCTAATGAGCCTTATTAGGAACACGAGTTCCCTTGTTCAATGCATTCTAATAGACCACGAGTGAAAAATTACCGAGAAGACTAATTCATGACAAGCCTTAGCTAACAGAGTGCTCTTCACCCTATCAAATACACCAACACTAAGGCTAACGTGCAGATGCCCCATTGAAGTGTCTTATTTGGTCTAGAAATATCTTCCTTAGGTGACATTCAGAATGTCAATATATAAATCCAGAGTGATGACTTGGTTGCTAAACTCAATGTAGTCTAAACTGAAACAGGTTTTTTCAACAATCTACAGAGTTTGGAAATAAAAATTATATCAACGACAAATATAAATCATTAAATCCATAACTGTCATATAAATCTCAAATCTTACCAAGCAAAGAAGCACGACTGGGTGGGCTGAGGAAGGAAGTGTGACTAGGCAAGCCTGCGATGAATTGCGACAAGAGTGCAAGCTACGAACGGCGTGCGATAGTGGGATATCAGGCGGAAGGGCAAGAAACTGAAACACGCAAATCAGGAGAGAGTTGCTGTAACGAACCAATTGGGTGGCCGGTTCAACCGAACCGGCCAACCCATTTTAAAAGCCGCGACCCAACTGCCCCGTTTTGCGAATAGCAAGAAAAAAAAGGGTGGACGTCTGGTTGGAACCGAGCATTGCATAGGGAGGTTTTGGAGTTTTTCGATTTTCCATTTTTAGCAATCCATCGTGTTTGGAGATAGAAATCAACAATTCCATTTTATTCCTATCGCTAACAAATTTCTAAATTGGGAGAAATTGCAATGAACGAGAGGAATGACCGAGAGGAAGAAGGAAGGAGGTTTGCAAATTTTTTCTTTCATTTTTTGTATAAATTGTCTTAAGTTATTTCATCTAAACCTATATATACTTTTTATAGAAGAAAAAGGAAGGAATTGAAGGCAAGGGGAAGGATTTTGGGAAAGGAAGAAGGATTTAGAGATTCCCATTTAAAGGAGGAGATCAAATTGTAGGAGTTGGGTTCTTCAAGGAATTCAACAAGAATGAAATTTAAGGCTGAGGTGGTGACTAAATCAAAGACTTAGAAGATTCAAAGTGGGTATTTATAAAATATTTTCTTTATTGTATTTTCTTTTTTCATTTTTGAAAGATGCATGTATATGATTGTTTAAGACTTATGACTTATATTATTAGAAACAATTACCTGAAATAAGCAATTATATGTACAAGTACAAATATGTGGAAGAAAATATATGTAGAAATTAGTATGTCAAAGAAATATGGAGTAAATTTAGAAAGCAGTTATACATATGTATTTGATACATACATGCATTAGAAAGTATATATAAATGAATTATACATGAATGGAAAAAAAAGGAAAAGGATAACATGCAAAAGTATTACAGGAGTTCACCTCCATATGGTACTGGCTG